TTGATTGTTTTAAAGTAATTTTTGGATGGATTGGATTCAGTAGCCTACATTGAGAAAGGGTTTGTACAATCTGAAGGGGCAAAGATAATTCTAAATATGGTTGACGCCCTTATGTGAGGAAAAGCCAAGGAAAATGGAGTAACGAGGAGTTGGCTCGCCTTGCAAAATCTTCTGACAGATGATCATTTTTGAAGTTTGTAAGAATCATATTCCTTACAGTTCTAAGATCCGTTACGCTATTAATGTTTCGAAGACCTGAAGGGTGATATTTGGAGACAATAGTGTTAATTTGAGAACACCAGTTGTACTTTGTAGGGAACACAGGGTTATTTAATAATGAAAGGAGTCTTTTATAATAAAATTTGGGTAAACGAGAATCTTCTATGCAGAGAATTTTATCAATCCAATTTAACGCTCGATCGATTATATCACAGATTAATGGGGTTACTCCAGTCTCGAGACGAACAGCGTAATGAGGAGTATGTCTTGGGAGGCGAAGTAAGCGTTTATAAAAAAAGGCATTGAATGCTGCTCATCTCGTTAAGATATCGTAGACTCCAAATTTCACTACCGTACAATAAAACACTTGCTGCTAAAGCTTTGAATAAGTGAACGTAGGTATAGAAGGTGTTCGATCTTGTGGCGTAAATTATGCTAAGGACCGCATCAATGGCCCGAAGTGTTGAGGTTTTAGCATTGAGGAACTGTTTTTGATATAATCCGCTGTTAACAAAAGTGCAGCCCAGATAACAGAATTCTTTTACAATTTCAATTGGCTCATTTTCACAGATAAATTTCAAGTTTTTCTTCGATCGGCCTTTTTGAAAAATTAAGATTTTAGATTTTCTTTTATTGATTTTAAGTGCATTATTGATGAAATACTCGGTGGCTATTCGGATTTTCCTTTGGAGATCCGGGGGGTTTTCCGCCAAGAGAACCAAGTCGTCTGTATAGGCGATACAGACGCATTCGTTCCTTGGGTCGATCGAAATACCAGGTGCGCCATTGTTCAGGAGGTGACTGTCAAAGTCCGATATGAAGAGTGCAAATAGAAGAGGGCTAAGGATTTCTCCTTGTAGCACCCCTTCTGTGACTTCTACTAGATCGGACAGACCCTTGGTGGATTTAACCGAGACTCTGGCATTATCGTAGAGACTCCTGCATACTCGAATGAATTTTCCACTCACTTCCAAGGAAGTAAGTTTGTGCCATAATAAATCATGTATTACTGAGTCAAAGGCTTTAACAAAATCTATAAATAATGCGTATACATGTCTACCAGATTGGCCGAGATGAATTTGTACTAGGGAAGACAGTGTGTAAATATTATCGATACAGCCTCTTTGCAGCCGGAATCCCGATTGGAATTCCGGTAATCTATTATTATTCTCAGCCCATGAGTATAGCCAGTTGAAAAGAATCTGCGTGAAAATTTTTGCGACATTATTAACGAGCGAAATGCATCTATAGTTCGAAGGGTCGGATACATCGCCTTTCTTATGAAGCATCGATGCATGCAGAATTGACCAATCCGCCGGTACTGACTCCTGGATTAATATTTTGTTGAAAAAAATGTTTAAATAAAGGAGCCAATTGCTAGGTAAATTTTTGTAAAATTCATTGGAAATGCCATCCGGTCCGGGGGATTTACCGGCTTTACACTTGTCGAGACTTTTAAGTATCTCTTCCTGAGAGATTTCGCCGTCTAAGAGAGGGTCACTTATTCCATTCCATACCAATTTGTGCAAAGATCGAGCCGGGTAATTATGTTTGTGAAAATTGTACCATTTATCGAGGCAGATTGTGTTGCTTGAAAGAGGTTTTGGTTGAAACCTTTTAGCTGTGCGCCAGAACAACTTGCCATTTCTACATTCACCCATGTCATCTCTTATCTTCCGAAAATAATCATATTCTTTATCACGTAGGAGTTTACAATAGAGTTGTTTGGATGCGTTGTATGTAGATACAAGCGATGAATTGGTAAATTTCGATTTTCTACATGCTTTCAAGTTTCTGTGTACTTTTTTTTTTTTTAATTTTCACATTGAACGTCAAACCATGGTTTTTTATATACAGTAATTATGTTATTCGATGAATGGAGCATACCTAAGCCCGTAGCTACCTCTCGTATTGTTGAAGTTAAATTGAGGTTCATCTCATCAACACTCCCGCTGATATACGCTATGGACGGGGAGAAGCTCATGTTGTGTAAAAAATCAAGTGTCAGCTCGTTCCTCCATTTAACTCGCTCCTGTGGCCATTGCAGACTGCGTGGTTCAGTTGATGTGGTGAGATTCTGGCACGCTAGAGTGAGCGCAATAGGTTGATGATCCGATGTGGTGGGGATTGACGAAACGGAGAAGCTCAGGATCGTATCAATGAAAAATCTGGTACTTGCAGCGAAATCAATGGTACTGGAACCTCTCGCCCCGTGGTGCGTGTATTGAGCTGGTATGTCATTAGCCATTCGCCCATTGAGGATCAACAGGCCCTCTTCGTTTAAGAATTCGATAAGGCGACTCCCTCTGCTATCACTTGCGGAATCGATTGAAGTCCTACTTGTTGTGATTAGGTCTGAGTAGGACTCTACATTATCTAGAAGGAAATTCTCCCCTCCAATATGAGCGTTAAAATTCCCTCCTACGTATAATGGAAGGAGAGGATTTGTTTTTGTGTGTATCGATAACTTCGCCAAGTGCCGACAGTGAAACCTCGATATTGATCTGGTTTTGAAAATAACAGTTTACTACGATGAACTCACTTGTATCACTGGATAACTTTGCAGCCAAGACACCAAACGAAGAGTGTAAAATCGAGCATTTGTACACCCCTTTATGATAAAGAATCATCAAACCTCCCATTCCACGACCTCTCGATTTCTCCCGCGTAGCGCGACTGTATATACACTCGTAACCGGCAAACCAGGGAGGGGGGATTTCCAGGGATAGTCGTGGTTGTGTACAGTTGTTCCCTCACATTTTTCACCAAGTTTGTGGACAGTCGTGGATGTGTACAGTTGTGGAAGTACGAACGCCCCCCCCCCCCTAGTAACCACGTTTCGGATAGACGGATGATGTCCCATTTCATCAGGTGAGATGACAGTTCCCAAGAGTTTCTGAAGCCGTGTACGTTCCAGAAAAATATTTTCATGTTGCTCCGCTGGTTCATTGGGTTGTTATTGTTGTGGAATTGGGTTTGGGAATCTCCATTGGCATCAGAGTCTGCTCCCGGTATTGATGGCTATTGAGATAACTTCGAATTTCTTGTCCCTCTAGGAGGTAGTTTCAGATCTGTGGGTCGAGAATTATCCAGGAATCCAGAACCTGAGGTCACCGAGCCTGCACGAGGACGATGAGGAGTGTTGCTTTTTTTGCTTTTACCAATTTTAGCTGAGGGATGGGCTGACTTGGTTTTTTGTACAACCGGGTCAGTTAGGACAGTTGCAGTCTGTTGCTTGTTTCACAAAGAGGGAGAAGGCAATGACAGCTCCCCAAGCTGTTTAATAACATCCACTATTTCGGAGGTAATGCCCTCACCGAACAGCTGAGTGATATCCGTTGGCTCGAGATGCTTACCATTCAAAACAAGGGCAACACCTTTTATTTTGGTTTCAATATTGATTTTCCTGAGTACGTCCCGAAGTTTGAACAGAATTTTCTTGAATTTACGTTCGACTACCGTAAGGTCTTCCTCAATCGTGATATTTTGCCTCCTCAGTTCAACCAAGTGGGAAAAGACTTCTATTTTCCATCTGGGAGCAATCAATTTTATACGAATAGTTCTGATTTTATCGTTGGAGAATTTCCCAATCCTTTGTGCAGAGAGTACACATACCTCCGAAATATTAATTGATGCTTTACTTAGGATGGACATAACTGTACCAACAAGATTCCTGTTCCCTTCCAGAGACTCAGGGACTTGATGAGGCTTTTATCCCTTTCAGCTTGATTCAACTTCTCAAATTTCTGGTTTAGCGTTTGCACAGAATGATCAGTTTTCAAGTTCATTTGCTCGAAAGTGTTCTGTCTCAATAGTGCACTGCATACATCTTTACTTAAATCCTTAATGGCAGCCAAGAGCTCATTATGGCTTTCATCTATAGTGCGCGGCATTTCGACTTTAAAACTTTTATGATGTAAAACACAAGTAAACAAAAATAACGCGACTAACAAACGACCGTATAAGTAAGATCACCCTTTCTAATGACGGGCAAAGTTAGGGTTTATTAACAGTTTATCATTCGTAGCGGAGCCGATCGACACACGTCTGACTTCTATGGCTGCTCACACGAGACTCCTAATAGAGGAAATATAAATTACGCATAATTAACATGGCAAATGGCAACCTGTCAGTTGCCACCATGGGAGGAGGAAAGACGAAATAATAAATCATTCGGCTTAGCGCAACTAGACGATTGTACGAATAGAAGCTCTTTGACAAATTTTGTTATATTTTTAGGAATTTTTTGATTACACTTTTACGATGAACTACTGCCACTATTGTTGGGGGCGCAAAAAAAGGAAAAAAGAGCGATTTGCCTGTTTTCAATTCCCGAGAAAAGTGACAGCCATTGTAGCTCTTATGGTACTAGAGGCTAGAATTTTGAAAGGGTGAAATCGAAGGAGTAGATTGACAGATATTTAACTTTTTGTGAGAACATGTTTTGCTCAATATCTCCTAAATTATTGGTCGGACTGAAACTTTTTTTTCAAAATGTCCCCTATCGAGATCAATCAAAATATGGATACCGGTTCATACCGAACAGTACTCAAATTAAACAGTACGAAAGAAGGACAGTGGAGAACATTAGTCTTACAAATAATAAATAACTTACCATTCAAGCAAATAAAAATAAATCTTAGAGTTTCTTATAAAAAAGATCTTTTGAAAAATTGCCTCCAATTTTTTAGATTATTATATTTTTTCAGAACAATTAGAATTCATTTCAGACAGATCTTCCACCACTTGACGATAAAAATGCTTTTATGATTTCATCTCACCAATCGTATTATGAAGAGCCTCGCCAGTCGTCGAGTCCCAGGCTATCGTAGTCTCTCTAGCATTAGTGATACCAATGGAAACAATCTCACTGACACTGAGGCCAAGTTCCTCCAACTGCTTGATTACATCCTTAATACAAGCTTTGACAGCAAAGAGGATCTCCTTGGGATCCTGCTCAGCCCATCCCTCTTGTGGATTCAGCAACTCAATATCGATAGAGTGATGCGCAACCTCAGCAACTCGTTTTGCATTGAACACCTGAAGACAAAAAATTAGAGAATTCACAGAGAAGAAAAGTTTTTAGGTTCCAGGACCAAGTTACTGATTATAAGAAACTTATGTTTTTATGAGGCCTTATATGGATAATAACAAGCGGGATATTTAATTTCAGAAGAAAGATCCCTGAAATTTCGTACCAAAAATTTACCCATTTCGAGTGACTGCAATTACACTAATAGAAAAAATTATTTTTCGTGTCACAGGACCTGAAAATTAATATACACACCCCGCCACGGAAAACATATCACCCTCCCCCACGTGCTTGCCATCTTGCCTCTTGGAATCAGTATTATATACTTGAACCAATTCTCAACAAGTAAGATCTTACGGTGAATATCAATTATTTCTTCTTGAGACACATTTACTTAAATCGAATAAAACAGTCCTTGGCGTCAAGTCACATGTATTCACCACACGAATGGAAAAGTTCAATTTTTTAAACTTAATATAATCGCCAGTCAAGAAATTTTCTACTTTCATGAGTAGATCAAAAATTCGTACCCAGGAGATGTTTGCTTCGAGGAATGAATTAAATGTTGTTTTCTCGAATGAAGCCGATGTTTAAATTGAGCTTTTCGTACATCACATTGCACCAAATTTGTGATATCCAAGTTTGTATAGAATTTCCGAAATCCATGATTTTGTTATTGGAAACTAATGCAATTTTTTTAGTCAAGAGATATAAACTTCTTTCAACTCAACGACATCTTACTACAATCGCAAAACTTTTTCCGCGTAACAATATTCATCCTGATTCGACATACGAAGTGCTCACTTCAATCGAGATACGCGATAGCGTATCGGCCAAGAAAAGTTTTGACCGACTGAGCAAAACATCAGGCCGAACGCACCGCGTATCTATACACGAAGCAACTACCCCCTCCACTACCGCCGAAACACATTTATTGAATAAAATGAAAACGTGATACCCTACGAAAAAAAAGCCTTAGTTACATCACATAAATCGGCCACGAGCTTTCCATTGATATCCCTATTTTCTTTTTCGACTTAATATTAAGGAAATTACGCGCATAGCAACGGGATCATATCCACATTCTCGCATTTCACATTATCTCTGAGCAGTGTGAGATTTCGTTTTCGAAGTTGGTAGCAGTGCGCTCCAACCTCACGCGCAGAGGGAGATTTGAATAGCGCATTACTCTTTCTCTCTCCTTCTTGAATTCTACTGATTTGGATTTTTTA